CCTCCGCCCCCACCACACATGGCACCACTGCACCTCTCACAGCCCTTTGAACACTTTCTTTGTTTCCTTTTCCTTTTGTTGTGCAAAGTAGAGCGTAAAAGCCGAAGGAACTCCACAGCCACCTAGGTTACTCATTCTCTTTCACAACAAAGCCCCCGAATTGTATGGTTTAAATGAATTGAATTAAATAAAATAATTTCAAACCTTGAGTGTGGATCTTCCAATGATCCTCTTATTAAAGAAAAACATTCAATAATTATATCATTCAATGCTGAAACTAGGGAATTACTTCGCACTGTGAAGAAATATCACTTTTTGAGATAAATGAGATACAGACCACTTTGTCAAAATTCCGCAAATTTTGAGGCACTCCTTTAAGTGGCATTCAAAAAGTGTCTACAAAGTGACTAGGTGATTCTTTATCATCGGGTTGCTTTTTTTTCCATTAGTACTAGTCTTATTGGACTCCGTGGTTGTCGCGAGACTGTTTCATTGATGATGACACCAAGTACTGAGACGTTTATGAGGCCATAAATTTCAGATTTTAGTGTCTGAAAACACATCTCGTCGCTGATTCTACTGCGGCAAGGCGCAATCAGACACACACACGTTCACAACGAGGGTAGATTATGAATTCTCCGTGAGAACCCACCATGGTGACTTGAATGACTTTATCAGGTTTGAGCTTGTGAATTTCACCATAGAATATATGTACCAATAAGACTATTCCAAATTTGCATCATTTTCAGCCACCGTCCAAATCTAACTTTACTCCGTCTGTCATTTCATTGCATATCGTTAGAATTGGAAGGAGAGAAGGAAACTTTGATCAATGAGGATAAATGGATTCGAACAGGCGCGCATGCATTAAGAAGTAGTTCGAACATTCATTAATGAGAAAATAACTATTCAACGCCACCGTCACAAAGTACTTTACGAGGCTAGGATCCAACAGAACTTGACAAACTAAAACTCCTCTCACTGTGCAGTTCAAGAGGACGAAGAGGTGGCCAAAATAGCAGTGGTCTTTGAGATGAAGCTTCGGATGCATTGGAAATGCTGTATTTCAGTCTAACTCCCCCCCCCTCTCTGCACAAAACTGCATGCATAATTGATTTAGAATCGATGAACAAATGACCATTCGAAGCTGCGAAATAAAGGCTTGAATATTTTATGTATGCAATATCTAAGGAAACAATGTTCTCGAGAGTTCATAAATTTTCCAAAACTCAAATCTAACTTCCGATTCAAGATAGAGGGGAATCTATATACCTTTTCACAAATTATTTACAACGTTGGCATATTTGCCTTTAGGGATAGTTAGATAGATAGATAGATAGATAGATAGATAGATAGATAGATATTGCAGTCTACCTCAAGAAATCGACATAATTACAGGCGATTTAGTCCGACGATTGGGCATGTTAAAAGCGACCTGAGATTATATCAAGGTAAGCAAATGGCCTTGAGAACATTTGGTGAGAGATGTGCCAGTAAAAGCAACCGCCAAAACATTTCAAAACAACAGAGCCTTGTTGAAACACCAAAACGCGCTGGTAGAAGAGAGAGGGAATGCAGTGTTGAGGTGACTCATGTAGTCTCTCAGGCAAAAACCCGGACATAGAGAGAGAGAGAGAGAGAGAGATTGAATTGAAAGGAATGCCAGTCAAACCCCGTTTTGAAGTAATTAAATTTCGTGCGTTAGCAAGAGAGGGTTGAAATAAACAGCACTTAGTGAGATAGAGTGTGAGACTTCAACTCTGAGTTATATGGGTGAATTAGGAGTCATCTACTCCCGGACACGGGCGTCAACTGAAGTTAGACGAGGTTTTCACCCTAAACTCCAGGGGCGTCACATAAGTAAGTGTCGTCTCGATTAAACCTCAGTGTCATTCATGACTCCTGAGTGAATATATGTTTTATAAAGTTTCTCACGTTCTGTGGAATGAGAGGAGATCTAGCAGATGGTCAACACATTACAGGAACTCAGGATGTGAAATTGATAGTTCTAAAGTCCCTATACCTCCCCCCCCATCCTCTCTCACTCACTGTGGTTGCAATAATTTGCATGACCCACAGATGGATTAGAGCCCTGATATTTTTCTGGTGTAACTTACCTGATATCTTATTCATGGTTGATCCTTCGTCAAGTAAACCCTCTGCGAGATTTTGAGCACTTGACAAGACCAAATCAGAATGCGAGGCGATCAGGTATTGAGCAAGTTTCTGTAGTTGATTCCGGTCCATTTTCACCAAAGTGTCTAAAACAATACGATTACACTTTCAACAGGGCAATTAAGCATCAGCAAACATAAATCGACAAGTCTATATGGGAATGAAGGTGAGATAATGCTGTCTTCAATTCTTTCAAAATATTTTTACAGTCTACGGTTGACGAGCTTAAAAATGGAAATCAAATTCCCTTTATTTGAATTGACTGAAGTAAAGCTCCCAAGATGCTAACAAAATTAATGCGATTATATAAAGCTTAAATTACATTCAGTAGTAGTGAACGAATCTTTGCGTGTGTATATGTATCGATTGCCAATAAATCTATTTAATTATTTTTTGTGTAAATGAGAAAATAGCAGGTTTGATTATTAGTGAGGCGGAGCGTGTGATCAATAATGCTATTATTGGCTGCTAACAGGTAAGGACCATACACAATTGTATCTTAGGTCGAGAAAATACAGTATGGACTTTAAAGAGAGTAGTTCAAAATTTATTCACTTCAACTGTTAAAGTAAGACACTCTAAAGCGCAATAAAAGTAGATATTTTGACTTTAGTTGTAGTTGTAGCAAGAGAGGGCAACAAAGACATCTAGAAAATAGAGACAATTCTAAAATATCATCTTGCAACAATAAAGGTTGTTGACCACGTGTTTATCATAAGATGCAAAAAAATTATAAAACTATCGCTTTCTATCCTCTTGGAAGAATGTAAATGTGAGTTTAATATTCTTTTTGTGAAAACGGAAGAGAATTGTGCTTTGGATTAAGGGAAGATAAATTAGTATTAACCCTCTCGTTTTGGTAATTCAATCAAGCAATTGGGGTTTTAGCCATTGGAAATTCGTAGAAATCTCCCAGGATGCATGAGAATGGGAGAGAGGGGGGGGGGGAGGAAAGTGCCCCCCCCCCGGAATTTGGCAAATCGGTTTCAAAATAATCAATTTATTGTAATTCGAATTTTAATGGGCGTGTGCCCTAAGGCTTCGCTCAATAATGGTTTACTTTTGCCTATATTATATAATTAGAAGAATGACCGATTAAGCACTCGAAGGTCCTACAAGTGTCAGAATAGGATGGAAGCTACGATGTAACCTTCTCAACTAGATAAGTTCAAGTGAACTTTTTCTTATGAAATTCGATGAATTTGATTTGAACAATGGCGAATGTGAGGACTACATATAGGTAGCTAGCCGAACTTTGAACTGCACAGTAATAAAATGTATCCAACTCACAAATAACCAGAAAGTATACCAGGTATAGTTGGCTTTGAATATACGAATATTTGAGCAAATTTTGGCAATAAGATAATATAAAAGGAGCTTGGCAAGTGTTGCAATAAGATCGACTCCAGTAAGCGGAGAGGTTAAAACACCTACTGATATTTCATCAGATTTCTATTGGTCACGTAAGCAAGTGATTAATCTTGTGACACAAGTTAGAGTTTTACCAATGATCCGTAATGATCAAAGTGATCACTAATTGAATGTTACTGTTGCTGCTGCAGCTGCCGGTGATGATGATGATGGTGGTGGTGGTGATCACAAAGAGATTTCAAGAAGATGACAAGAAGGACTTGTACCGAGACAGACCACAAGAGGCTTAAGGTCTTTTCATCAACTAATGCCGGTAAGGCTATTAAGTGTACAATTTTAAGCCGTAACAAGTTTTTTACGCTTAGAAAACAGAGTTTATTTAGATACTATCATTAGAATACTATGTTAGGGTTGAAAATTTTCATGGAAAACAATTTTAAGAACTAGGCTAAGTGAGTGGGTGCACCTGAGTACAAAATGAACTTATCAAAAATACAGGAAACATAAAATCAACCAAGAGTTGGGTCGAAAAAATTAAGCTGAAATATGCTAGAAACACACAACGCCATGGTAATATATTTTGGATTGCCAATTAAATTCAATTCAATTGACAAGTAGAAAAATCCAAATATTCTAAAAACGCGATAGCTTGTCAAAATGGACAATCAGCAAGTAAGCTGGTAATTAGAATAGCAAGTCAGGTCATATATCTAATTCGAAATATGCAAATAACCTTAATTTTTATTCGAAAAATCATCAGCGATCAGAACTACAGGCCAATCAGCTCAGCTTGATAAGGTACCTATGCTCCGTTTTTGACAACTTAAATTAACAGGGAATTACTAATTCTTTAATAATAGGTACATGATAGTCATTCTCGAGTGAATTTGAGAGTGAGTGGACATACACTTGCTCAATGGATGAGTAAGCACACAACCCATCGGCAATCATCCATAAAGAATGCGCGAAGGCAATGAATTGAAGACGATAGCCCAATTGGACAAATGAACTCTTTCGCCTAGTCCCATCCGTTAACTCACGAAAAAGGCAAATATTTAACCAGACAAATTGCGTAGATATGCATACCATTCAAGGCTACTATCTAAATCTCCCAATCACGTAAGGGAGATGACAGGATTTTAGCTATTCGCTTAAGCGCCACTGAAAATTAGCAAAAAATATCTTAAAAATTGACTTTAAAACAATTAAAAAGATATAAATTTCCATATCCTTCAAACACAAGAGCACCATCTTAAAAACGACCATATCCAGAAGGGGCAAATATTTGCCAATATTATAAGTAAACAAAGTCATTGTTTGCCAATGTATATTTTCTAATCAAACAACAGACGTTAATAATGCAAATATACAAAGATAGATAGGTTGTCTAAACAAAGCGTTTGTTCAGAAATTCAATGATGATAAACAAAGGAGTATTGGCGTATTGCATGCCCTCATAATAACTTGAAAATTTTAAATTTAAATGTCATAAAACTTACCAGAAATTGGAGCACGGTAACTAACATGATGTGGTTTGCTAATTCTGTAGAGTGCTAAGGCAACGATGTGGGGGCACCAAGATAATCCACGATTTTGGCAGGAACAGTGAGCAGATGTTATTTTGCATCTAAAAATAGTTCTAATTTACGTACAAACACAGAAAATTACCTGTCAAAAGTTAATGAAACGTTGTATGAGACAGTATCAATTAAACCCGAAACTGCACAAGTATCAGGCTTTACCGACCCAGTCAAATGAAAGCCTAGAAAAATAAAATTTTACTAAGAATGTATATACCAATTTGGATGACGTTATTCACAAAATGCTTTTTGAAAAGCTGTTCTCCAATAGAGAAAGCAGACTTTTCTGAGGATCCACTTTGGCGGGGTTTGAAAGACGAGTAAGTTTTGATGTATGAACAATCGCGAGGAAAGGAATAGTAAATAATACGCTCCTGAATATGGTCGGGAACGTCAATTAGTTTAGATTCGATGTATTCAAACGGTAAATGTCGAGCTACTACCATTGAACTTAGGTCAAATAAAGATGGTACACAGGACCCATCATTAATCTTCTGTATAGTTGGGTCCAAAAGCATTTTTTTACAGCTATGTCCATGATATGAATCATTGTTTGGACGCTTCATTTATTGTATCTAATATTTATTTAAATACTTTCCAAAAGCGGCACCAATCCGCGCAAGAAAGACCGATAACCGGATGCGAAATGCGCGCCGCCAGTGATCATAAGCTTATGTTAATTATTTCAACCATTCAAGGTCAAATAAATACTGTAACAATAAAGAAATAATAAAATGATATTAATCATATCTTATAATTTTTAATTTAAATAAAGGTAGGGACATTTCAAACTTATATTATTTTTTGGTATGTTTAGTTTCAAAATAAAAATTTATCTTATTTTGTCTAGCTCTTACCAACTACTTAATTAGCGATCAGGGTTGTATTCCAGTTATTTATATATGGTTCTACAAAATGTGATTAGATCGGTTCCGATCCAGCGTTAGAATTTTTGCTCTAATGTTTATCTGTTGTCATAAAAAATGCTTCATTACTGATCTAATTTTAATACCATTTCAATGTATTCTATTGTGTGTACATCATCTTTCAAACATAACCATTTATTGCTATTTTTGGTAGCTACTTCATATTTTTGATAGAATAACCCATTGCTTTTCATTCAAAATTTTTTGCTAATTGGTAACTTACTTCATTGCTATAATTTTCAAGAAAAATTTGAGTCACTTGGTGCTCAATATAGCTATCTATAATGAAATAAACAATGCTTCTTCCACTTTAAATTAAAAATTTCTACAAATAGGGAGATAATGTTTGCCATATTAAAATCAATGTCAAAGCACTAAATTCGTTTTCGAAGCAAGCCAATTAGCATGTCATAGTTATAATAATATTTACTCTCTCCAAAGTTTAACCAATTTTAATACAATCGCAAACATGAGACTGGATATAAAGTATTTATGCATGACTTTTTGAGCTGAAAATCTTATATCAAAATCTTTTAATTTGTGTAGTTTTCTCATTGAAGGACGTAAAACTCTCAAATCATATTTTCATAACTTTAACCTAAATGTTGCGAGTAATCTTATATATTCCCTTTTAACAAGAAGTTAGTAACAAAGCTAAGTGGTAAGAAAATGTATTTGTTAGTAGAACATTATCCATCCCCCCTCACCCTCACCCTCCCCACACCCAACATTACGATGGCACTTGGGATGAAAGACACGCTTGAATAGCTGCATTCAATTTATCCGCCTATAAATAAAAAATATAGTGTATTTAACTTTTATAGAATCATTTATCTGGGGTTTCAATCAAATGTAATGCAAATTTCTTACCTCTTCATTCGGAGATCCAAATTCGGGAAAATTCTTCATTGCATAAACATACACATTTCCAGAACTATCCCCTACGATGAGAGACTGAAATAGAAGCGGAATATGCTTAAGGGCAAACAAATACTAAAAGCAAATAGAGTCGACAGTCCTTTTTATCTAAATGGGAGTAAAAGAGAGTAAATGCAGTACTCAATTTTCTTTTGATTAAATTACTAGGACTATTTCCAGAAATATCTGTTATTTGCCATTTATACAAATTATTAATTCTGTGAATAAAGTTATTCAGTAGAATCCCATATCTGTGGGTTCCTGCTAAGCAAGTGACTGAAGTTATGCTGATCAAAGCGAGACTGATTTTTAGCTATGAAAATGAAAGGAGATAAGATAATCCAAACGCTTGCTCTCTATATTCGCACAGAACCTGAAAGCTGAGAAGATAGGTAAGTCATTTCTAATCAATAAACAAACACTTGTGTTCATTTGAGTGTCCAATAACTATAGCGTACAATTGTAGACTCTTGATTTAAAATACATTACCGATATATCTTCAGTAGAAATGCTATTGACGAGTCAAAACCAAACTACCCACTTGTTACTTAAGTCAAAATTGGCTTAAGCTGTCTTAAGGTTACTCATTGTAATTGCTTATTGGACGCAATGAACTATCAAAATTATAATAAGGCTTTCGGGGGGGGGGGGGGTTTACCAAGTGATTACTAATTGGCCTTGAAATCATAGAATAGTCTGGCAAAAACGCGGATTCTATCTGTCAATTAGGTGCTTCTGAGTATTAACTTGCCAACGGATTAAAGGTAATTGTGTTGTTTTGTTGAATTAAACACGCTAATGCCTAGTTTTCGTGGAAAGATGTGCATTTTATTAACTTAAGTAAAAATTATTCCTTTCACACAGAAGCGCTTCAATCTTTGACATATTTGACTCACCAGATAAGAGACTCAAATTTGCAAATATACACGAAAGTTCACTTTAGAAGTTCTCAATATATCGCCCCTTTGCCTCCTTCTGTTCCAAAGATATATTTCAAAAAAGTAATTCATTTTTTAATCGCAACTCAAAATTGCATCAAAAGATATGATATATAACAAAATTGGGGGCTGATTTACGAGAGGAACCAAACCCAGGTGCAGGACAAGCTGCAAACGTCTATTTTCGCAGCTGTCAAGGCTTACGAAGAAGAGAGCTGAACAGTTGACGCTGTCAGAGTGTCATTACGCACACAGCCATGCGGCCTTTTCAGCTGACTACATCATAATCCTCCCCCCCCCCCCCCCCCCCACCATCCCTCCTTTTCACTCTGCAAGTTCGGAACTTAGTTGCCAGGCTAGCTAGCATATGGTGCCAGCTGGAAGTTAGTTTGTTCCTGTTCATCATTATGCAGTTAAAACTGTAAAAATCGAGGTTTCAGCTTAAAAGTTAGCATGAACTACGTTTAGTGTTACCGGCAGTATGTATCATTTTTGTGGTAGGCTTTGTGAAAACTACTTTAAATATTCTTCAAAAATATCATTTATCCGGAGACGTGGGAAGTTTGTTTATTGGAGTAACCAAGCAAAGAGTAGCTTGTTTGGAATCTTTTATACAAACAGCTGTGTATTACATCGATCTAGAAAGGGTCTGGTCAAATTGGTGAAATCAGGGTAATTCAATCAGATGCCATTTTTACTCTTTTCTTGTTTAAACGTAAACATCTTATTGGGAAAAGCGAAAAGTGAGAAATAGAAAGTGCTCAGGAAAATTGAAGACTACTAAACTGCGGTAAATCATCCTATTGATAATAGGACTTAAAAAACATAGGATGTGCTGTATTGATCTTAAATTTTTAGTCTTTAGTCTATTATTGAAAAATATAAGGTTAAAGTGATTTTCAAATAGAACTAAGATTAAAGACTGTTATTTTAGCATTTTAAATAGATAGTTAGTTTGACCTTTCGGATACCTGTTTAAAACCACAAGGGATTCAAATGGGATTACATTGGAACACTAAATTTTCGGGCTAGTGACTCATACATATTGATCTTGACTTTACGGAGAATTCACCCTCTCTCAGATATTTGTCAAAAATAGTATTATTCAACCATTCGAACGAAAAAATTTTTTATTTTATGCATGAACATCGCACCCACTTGCTATTTTATCTCAGGTAAATGATTGTATTATGCAATTTTATTCAGAGCATCAAAATTGCCTACAGAAATACCGAGAATATATATATATATATTATGAGCTAATCTTGAAATAGCAAAAATAATTATTTGCTGAAAAGATGCACAAGTGATTAGTGCTTGAAATCCAAATTAAAAATTCCTCCTGGTGCATTCCAAGCCGAACACCCACCGACTCAAGCACTTATTGATGTTGTGGCTACAGGTGTTCCAATTATTCCAAAATTCACTTCACCCATTATTTATGCATGCAAATTTATGCCCAACTCATACGAAACCAGTTAAAAACAATCACTATGCTAGCAGCTGTTAAAGGTGTCGTGTTTCTTTTATAAAAGTATATCAAGACGTCATATTCAAACCCACCAACACATTTGAAATGCATACCATATTTAAACAGTACTTATTGAAAATTTCTTGGCAGAAGAAGAATGTTCCCTGAATTAAGGAGACGCCAAATGACGTTAAGAGGGCGTATGGCATGCCCGGTACTTAATTGCAGCTGTTCCAGTCTCCCTCTCTTCCCCACTCTCTCTCTCTCCCTCTCTCTGGTTGCTAACGCGTTGTGCTGGAGCTGAAAACACGTGTTCACTTTAAAAGGGTATTAGATGCAGCTGTGTTGGCGTGACCTGCATATTCGATTTCATCCGAACATCGTATTAAGGCCTAATGAATTCAGAATCAATTTGGGAATAGGTAATGTAACGGTGTCAAAACCCGGAATTACCATAAAACGAGCTGATTAGACGAGATTCGAGCTTCTCAAGGGTAGTGTTTTAGATGCCAGTATTGTGAGTACTTGATTTTATCCTACACCAGAAACGTAGCATTTAGTGGACGATATATCGACATTGGATGATAATATGCTCCAAACACTGAGGTCATTAAATTTCACTAATGGGTGTGGAGGTTCTAGTTGCAAGAAGCAAGCAAAAATGTATGTGCAACTCGAATTTTATGATTTGCGCGTTGATATTCCAGGAAGAAGAAAGGATGCATATTTTTTATTGTCATAGCGAAAAAGTTAACACAATTCATCTCGAACAAAATACACTATAACATGATGCATGGTAGGTGAATTGGAAGATAAATGTATACGAGTCGATAATAATAATAAGGAATAAAACAAATAATATTGATTTCGTCGGTGGAGTTTACTTGACACTTTCATATGATCATATTTCCACCTTAATCCCACTATTTACTTCTCATTTGCCCACTCTGGACCAGATAATATTTAGTTTTTATATGCTTACTGAATCGATTAACTACTTTTTTCCTTAAGTAGTATTTACCTGATATCAGTAGTTATCATTGATGGCTGAGATAGTATTTCCGGTACATTAAAAGGTTACCCTGATGTGCTAGGTAAATAAAATTTTTTATGATGTCCCTGTAACAAAATATTTTACTTACAAATCACAAGATAGTGAAAATAGTAAAAAGACAGCAAGCTGACTACTGAGTAAGCTACTTAAAATCATGATGAAATTCTCAGAAGGTTATTTATGAAGTTGAAAGTGAGAGTTGAAATGAATT